TCTGCAAAGTGACAGCTTAGCTCAACATCATGCTGAGTGCTTTCAGAGATATTGTTGGAAGGACATGCATAAACAGCATTGCAGAATTTATATATACAGACTGTATATATTGACTGACAAAGTGGAAAAATACTGTTTAACATGTATATATATATATATATATATATATATATATATATATATTTTTATTTTAAGTGTTTCATCCCAAGCAAGGCAGAAAGCCACTAGGATTCAAGGGGTTACAGAAAATTTGGAGCAAGGTCAGATAGGAGTGATAGAAGAAAGGATGAGGAGAAGAGTAGTGGATAGATCAAGGCAACTGGATATACAGAGGCCAGTGAGAGAGAGAGAGAGAGAGTACCGGAAACCCCATCCTAAACAAGAAACAAGGCGTAAGCCTCTACTCATGTCCAAGAGAAGGGGGAGGAGTGTGGACCGGGTGGTAGGAAAGCCTACCTACTCCTATTACATATAACACATACAACAACATAAACAGAGGTAACAATGAGAGGGGGAGGTAATTTGCAAAGAGTCCTGGCTGACACTTGCATTTACCCTTTTGCAACATTGTTTTAAGTTTTAACTTAGTATAAGTCCCATTGTCTATTCTAAAATATATATATATATATATATATATATATAAGCTTTCCCTGATGATCTGCTTAGGTGAAACCTGGGTAGGTTTGTCTGACTCACTAGGTTTTATATATATATATATATATATATATATATATTAAAAAATAAAACATTATGGCGTCATTTGATTAAAATCACCTGAGTATACTGTAAAGTTGAAACCAAAGTAGCAGATTCAACTAACCTCCTGATTTTTAGAGTTAAAATCTCTACATGTTATTTTACTTTTACCTTATTTTTTTACATGTGTATTGAGCACTTTTTAATACTACTGTTTCCTGGTCTGATTGTTACTTGGATCAAAATTATTGAATCTCAATTCTATCTGAGAAATGTAACTTGGTTTACAATTATTGAATCATAATTCTATCTGAGAAACGTAACTTCCTACAATTTTACAATGTTATTGTGTCTCTCCCTCTGAAAATAGTGGCAAAAATACCAAGCTACATTTTGGATATTCACAACTATGATGAGTTAAAAAATACTTTCATAGAAAGATATGCCCAAAGCCAGAACTGCTGAATAAATTAATGTCCACCCCCATTATTAAAAGGTTGACCATCAATTTATCTTCAGGAAATTGAAATTGCAACTAGAGATAAGCAATGAAATAGTGCTACACAAATTTTTACAGGTGTTACCAGTTTCTATAGCACCCATATTAGTAATGCAAAAAATTTAAACCCTACTAGGCTGGGACAATTGGTGGATGAATTAATGCATTTAATACAAGGTACTGCTAAAATTCAAATGAAAGAAATGCCTACTAAAACCTCACCAATACCTGATGGTCTGAAACCTTTTGAAAAAGGAGAATTACAGAAAATATGTAGAACACTTATTAATTATGCGGACATGATGCATTGATGTAAACACTGATGCAAATGGCTGAACAAAAAAAAAGAGACTTGATACAACGGTGAAGTTTGCATCCATCCTCACCATTGCCAAACGAAGCTGGAAACTAATTGGGCGGATAACGACTTATACACCCCCACCCCCACTGAGTCTGCCATTATTACAGATATCAGGAATGTTGGGGACAACAAAATTTTTCTTCATAAAAGATACTGGTGCCAGCTTATCCATCATTCTACATAGCTACATCAACAGTTTATCAACAGAACCAACGCCAGTTTCTCTTACAATGACTACAGGCTCTGATGCACACTGCTACAGGCAAATTAATGTTGAGATAAGCCTATTGACCCTTCAATAATCTTTTCTGTAGGTGTTCATAGTAGAAGACATTCAATACCTCCCACAAGGATTTGACTTCCTAAACAATTTTGATTTATTAATAGATTGCCAACAAAGAATTATCATCAATCCTACAACATCATGTTCAAAGAAACTAAAAACATTCAATAACTTTATCAACTTAGTTGTGAATGATGATATGCCTGATTTCATTAAAGGTTTTATAAAAATATATCCTAACATTATATCCCCACATACCAACCCAGCAAGCACATATACAGGAGTATACCACAGAATTGATACAGGCTATTATGCTCCTACTTTTGCCAATGTTAGATGCCTATCAGAAGAGAAAACCAAGGCAGTAAAGATGTAATTTTTGAAATTGCTGAGCAATGGTGTCATTATACCTTCTAACAGAGAATGGACCAACCTCTGACATATTCTTAAAAAACCAGATGGAAATATCAGATGTTGCGGTGATTACCACACATTAAACGACATTACAAAAAGTGATAACTACCCAATCCTGAATATTAATTGCTGATAAACTGGCCAACAAGAAAAATCAACCTGGTATCAGCATACCATCAAATCAAAATGCACACAGAGGATATAAAGAAAACAGTACTCATTTCTCCTCTTGGATTGTACGAATTCAAATATATGCCATTTGGACCAAAGAATGTAACATCCACTAGGCTCTTCAACATGTTGACTGTGTATTTACATACATTGATGATATTATTATTTTCAGCGATGATCTCTATTTATAAAGGCAGGATGTGTGTGTGTGTGTGTGTGTGTAACGAATGCATGGCCGCAATTTTCGACGGATTTACACCAAAATTTACATGCACATGCTCCAAGTTAGCGGCAAGGCCAAGACTGACTTTGCATTTCCCAACTCCCATTGAGAGTGGAAATAATCAATTTTTTCATGCTTCTACGGCAGTTTTCATGTAGTTTGCAGCCATTTTCTAGGCAGGAAGATTCTATTGGCCAGCATGAGAGCCAACAGCTGACTGACATGAATGTTAACTAGCATGCTAGCATGCAAAAAAATCGATAGCTGCATTCGTCACGAGTGGGAAAAATTTAAATCTGCATTTCACTTTACTCCAGTTGGCTCATTTGCTTGCTTAAACTCAACATTGATTCTGATTCTGTGGAACTGGGTTAGGTGTGAAAATGTATTTGTTGTTAACATTCTTTTTTCATTTAGTTTTTCCAGTTACGAGTCCTTTTTTAAAGCTGATTGTTTTGTTTTCATTTTGTTTAGTTCTTTTTTCATAACAGATTTAATGTTTAGTATAGAGCTTAGAAAAAATTCGCAGTGTGAGATAGGCAAGAAGTAAGGCATGTAGCAACATCAGCACGGCAAAGGGCACTCCTTTTAAGGCAAGGAAGGGCAAAAATATTTTAAGTCAAGTGATAGCAATTGCTGTATGAGTCGTACGATTTTTGAATCAAGCACGGGCAATGCCAGGCCATGCTGCTAGTTTGAAATAAAAGATGTTGAAACTGTTATAAAAATCATACACAATAATAATCTAAAAATTTCAATAGCAAAGTCAACATTTGATATGACTTAAGTAGATATTTGGGGTATGTGCATGTATCTATAAATATAACATATACACACACATTTTCTCCACACTGATAGCACAACTTATTTTTTTTTTGCTTTTTTTTACAGTATATTAGCTCTGATGGTATTAGACCTACACAAAATAATGTTAGTGCATTACAGAATTTTCCCCCTCCTAAGAACAGTAAGAATTTTCATCATTTCTTAGGCATGGTAAATTTTTATAGAAAATTAATCCCTAATTTTGGAGACATGGTCATGCTCTTAACAAAAAAAAAAAAAAAAAATACTGTATGCAGTAATACTACATTTACATTAAATGATGTAGAATCATTTAACCCTCTACCTTGAGTGGCCCCGGCCTTGTAAAGGGTAAACCTTACTGTAGAAAAACAAAAAAACTCTAAGTTGTACAATCAATGTAGAGAAAAATGCGTGTGTGTATATATATATATACATTAATACACATATACAGGTGTAGAATTTTCTCTTTGTGTTTTTTTTTAAGAATTTCATGAAACCTTTAATTAAAAACTGGCAAAAAAATTCTAGTCCGAAATCCCTTTCATCAAATATTATTAGAAGTAAAGTATCATAAAGGCTTTCTGGAACACAGGAGACAATATTTCAATTTGCTTAATGGCTTGATGCATTAACTATTCAGTTCTTGTCAGTTGTGGCAGGTAATGTTTGCAGAAATAACTTTCCCAAATCACATATTACAATAGTTTTATAGAAATATAAACTCACATATAAAGATTGATATTTAAAACATGTTTTGCCAACACACAGGTTTGCACATCATGACATTAATCTCATATTTAGAAAATATTAGATGCATTTAAATGTCCATCGAAGACTGATCAAAAACATTTATATGAGGATATTGCTGTTGATTCATTTTCTATGGCTTATCAATCTTTTGCAGGTTATTTAAAGCAAGAAAATATTTTTAAATTGTAAGATTTTTTTTAGATAATAATGATTTAGTGAAGCAAGTTTTACTAATTAACCCACATTTGGGGGAAGAATAGGTGAATGCATACCCAAAGATATTTGCACATAAGTGAATATAATGAACCCAACTGGAATTGAAACTCGGTTCTCTGATTAACAATTCCAAGTCAGAAAGGAAAGAGAAATTGATCTTAGTGACAGGTCCTGCAGTAGCAAGCCTGCTGCTGTAGATAAGGCTAGAAAAGATGATGCTCTGACTGTTGCCTGCAGTTTAGTCTTATCCCTTGTAAAATCAAAAGTTTGTGAAAAATGGTCTGTTACATGGTTGCACTGAATTGCATTGATTGATTCATTCATTTTTGATGGCTTATCAACTCTTTGCAAGTTTAAATAACTTGCAGAGTTGATAAGCCATTGAAAATAAGACAGAAAATATTTTTAGATTATAAGAGGTTTTTATAATAATAATGCTTTAGTGATAATAATTAACCCACAAATGGGAGAGAACAATATTTGCACATAGATGAATATAATGAACACAATGGGAATTGGAACTCAGTTCTCTGATTAACAATTCTAAGCCATTATTCATTATACCACCCATACATCCAAGCTTGCAGAACCTGGTATTCCCAAGCACTCACCCATCTAAATACTGACTAGGCTTGATATTGCTTAACTTTGGTGATCATACAGGAACCAGCGTTTAAACATGATATGACCATAATCTTCCTTCCGGATGCATGAGAGATGACTGTGTTGGTGTCTTGAAATCTTCCAATGTACCAAGCTATGAGTTTACAATACCACTGTCCTCTCTGTGTTATAATATAGAGCTGAAACATGACCTCTCAGTAAGGCTCTGATGTGTCACAACTATGGTTTCAAGTCCTGTGCCCTCAGGGTCATTGAGTGGGTGCACTGGTTCAGTCTTGTATCCAATAAGGAGCTCCTCCTGAGAACTGACAAGCTGAGCATCTCCTACATGGCTGTTGCAGAGTGTTTACTGACTTGGTCATGTCCTGATGACCAACCTACCAGACAGTCACCTACCAGTTTGACCTACCATCTGAAGACTGGATACAACCTCACAGCAGACCATGCAGGAAGACTGCCATCTGTCAAGACCTTCAGTAGATTAATCTGGTGCTAGAGGATGTTCTGACACTCTAACAAGACAATGACAGCTGGAGGGACAAGGTAGCTCTTACGTGTTCAACATATTTATGGCATGAGAATTATTTGTACCAGCAACCTAAAACATCAAAATATTCTTACTTGGTATATAGTGTAACTTTCAAAAGGTTACTGAATGAGGAATAACCAAAACGGAGTTTGGAAATGAAATGGTAATCTTTATAACATCAATAAAATACAATACTCACCAGCAGTATGAAGTAGATAAACAACAGCTAGTAGTGGACTACTTAGACAGCATATTACCCCCAATTACAATAGTGTCCAATGTATTTATGAGGATTGGGAAATACGCATTAGTGTTCAGAGGTATGGTATATAACAGTATACTAAACATGTTACTCTAAATTTCCATATGTAAATTCATGCCTATCATATCTATGTAAAGAAGAAGTACTTTTTTTTTCTATAGCCTGCAAATGAAATTTAAAGAAAGTGTATTTAAATTATTCCAGTCACCAGGAAATTTACTGAAAATTCCCAGCATGAAAACAAATAATTATGGGCTTTTATTGTTGTCTGATGTCTTTTGAAATAAAATTTGTCAAGTGAAGATTTAAAAATTTAATTAATGGAATAAGAATATTCATGGTTGACTAAATAAATTGATACAACAGTGAACAACTAACTATGCCGCTTTGGTTCTAAGAATGACATCGAAAAAATCTCATTCAATCACCAATTGATACTTGACCCTCAGAATCTTCAAAAGATACGAGATCAATTTTGAAGTGACAGGAAAAAACAAAATGGTTTAAATCTATGGAAATGTTAAACAAAAAATTAAAAATATAAACATCCTTTAAAAAATAAAGGTAATTGCTTTTTCTGTCTTTGAAAAGAAAATGGTTTAAATATTTTTAGCGTTGCAATATCCTGTTGATTAATTTTTTCCAACATGTAATTGTCCGAATAAACAGGGAACAAGTATAAAAGAGAAATAGTCATTGAAACAAGGGACAAAGATTCGGTTGCATTTTAAGCTGACACTTTCTAAAAAAAAAAAATCTTTCTCTCAAATTGTTTTAAACATTTACAAAATAATAATTATTCTCAATAGAGTGAATTAAGAGAAGATAACTCTGGTTTGCTGAAAGACAGGAATCTATATAATACAAACATTTTGGATTTTGTATGTCTGTTACCTTTGAGTAGCCAAAGCAGTGCACTGTAGCTAGTGCTAACTTGAATGTAAAAATATAAAATCTGTATGAATTGCAACTGAATGATAATACTGTGGGGTTAGTGTCAATATCATCGAGATAATGGTCGTGTTGCCTGTGTTCATGTCCAGTGAGAAAAAAAAAAAACTCAAGGTGGCCAACTATTACATGCTGTCCTTTATTTGGTGCAAAAAAAAAATTGTGGATAATCTGTCCAAAAGATAAAAAGAAAAGTGTGAACTTGAGACATTTTATCCATAATTTTGGTTCGGATTAACAATATCTTATTCAAAAATTGGAAAAATATAACAAAAATTTAAATACAGAAAAAAACCAATACAAGTACATAGATATGTATAGCCATAATTATAATGTGTGTGTGTGCAGAGCTGATTTATTATGCGTTGATGTTTCAGTAATTCCACATATGAGTTCAGGGAGTGCACTGATATTTCATACCATTTTGTCTACTTTTGAATTTAAAAAAAAAAAAGTGTAACATTCCGTTTGCTTTAAGTGCTGTTTTGGAATTTGGGGAAAAGAAAATTTCCTGAACAGACAATTTAGTTACTTGTTTCTCTTTATTAATGCATGAAAATTCTTCTTTTTATTACACAATGGAATAATATCCTGAAGTTGATTAACCCCTTCCCCAGCATAGATGTCTATAGATATTTTTACCAAAAGTCTCTTTTCCAGACACAAACAAACACTTCCAAAGCATAACATTTAAAAAAAACAGCGACAGACATGCTTATACGTCGATCTTGATTCTTTTTATGCCCTTCTGAGCTTGAAACAAGTTCAGTTGTCAACTCATATGTCTGGTAGAGGTGTTAGCCACCCCTCAGGTACTTCAAGCTGCCTTAGTTTCTTATTTACTGTATTAAAAACACCTCTATACTCTCCTTTTATTGACCTGACCAAGGCTTTTGACATGATCAACAGGGAAGCGCTTTGGACAGTCCTTGAGTGGATCGGATGCCCACCAAAGTTCATGACAATGATTAGGCTCTTCCATGACGGCATGACTGGCCAGTTCCTCTCCAGTGGTAATGTGATGGACACTTTCGAGATCAATAACAGTGTAAAGCAGGGCTGTGACTTAGCTCCAGTTATATTCAACATCTTTACCTACATGCTGTCCAGGATCTGGAGCAGGGAGTCTACATTCACTACTGTTTAGACAGCTCCCTCTTTGAACTTCGTCGCCTCACAGCTAAGACAAAGAGCCTCCAAGATCTCTAGAAAGTTCTCTTTGCTGATGACTGTGCACTAGTGGCCCATGCAGAGTCTGATCTGCAGCTAATGTTAGACTGTTTCTTCAGCCTGACAATCAGTCTCAGCAAAACTGAGGTGCTTCATCAGTCCACACCAAACACAAACACCCCAGCGCCAACCATCATCATCGATGACACACAGCTTGCTAATGTTGAGCATTTCAATTACTTGGCAAGTACCATCTCTCGTGATGGCTCCTTGGACAAAGAAATTGATGCCCGAATCAGCAAAGCAAGTCAGGCATTAGGAAGACTTTACAACATTCGGCTGACTACAGAGCCAAGAGTGTACAATGCAGTAGTCTTGCCCTCCCTTCTATATGGTTGTGAGTCTTAGACACTGTACCGCAGACACCATCAAGAAGCTGGAGAACTTCCACAATATAAGCCCTCATTTCTATACTCAGAATTTGCTGGCAGGACTGCGTTACCAAACTTGAGGTCCTGGATCATGCTCACACCTCAAGCATTGATTCCATGTTTATTAAGGCCCAACTCCAATGGGTGGGGCATATCATCCACATGGAGAAGCACTGCATATCAAGACATCACCTGTGTGGAGAGCTCCTGCATGGCAAGAAAAATCACAGCTGTCCAAAGAAGTGATACAAAGACACTGTGAAAGCAAATCTCCAGGGGTGCAAGCTTAAACCCAAAGAACTAGAGGAGTATACCAATGATTGACCACGTTGGCAAATCACAACCCAGGATGCTGCTTCTCACCTTTGAGGATGCTTGAAGCCAGAATCTCATCTCTGCCAGAGATCAAAACCACAGGGCATCATCAGCAGTGTACGACAATGGACTTTTCGGTGCCCCCACTGTTCCAGACTCTGTATCTCCAGCCTGGGGTTGTGGAACAACCTCCACGTTCACAGATGAAATACAGAAATGATATGTCATCTTCGGATTTAAAGGACAACTGATATATATTAAAAACAAATAAAAAATTAATCTGAAAATTAACTGACAAATTCTAATTTTGTCAGGATGTAGTACAGTTTGGAGACCTTCAAATAACGCCCTCTGGAGTAACCCCTTCTTATTCCATGCTACAAACAATATTGAACTTCCCAGTTCCAAAAACAATCACTGATGCAATGTCATGGTTTGGACTGGTCAACCAAGTAGCTTGAGCATACTCATTAGGTCCAGTCAGGCTACCTTTTTGTGATCTTGTGAAACAAAATTCCCACTTTACATGGAACCAAAGCCTCAAAGATGTTTTCCAGCATTCCAAACAGGTGATAATCAACCTAGTTTGGAAGGGTGTTGTGACATTTGACAAAAATCGAGTAAATTGCCTGCTCTTGACTGGAGTAAAGAAGGAATGGGTTTTCTATTCCAACAAAAATAAAATGTTTTTCCCTAAACAATTGGTGAGGAAGAGGTTAACTGCTAATAAAGACATTATTGTTGGTAATTTGTCTTTCCGAAAATAAGACAGTTTTCATGAGAAGAATGTTTGATGTGAGAAGACTAGATCATGATTTTTTTATTTTGATTTGCCAAACACTCGTCAATGTTTCTTAAGCTCTGCAGAATTATCAATCTACTTTTTCCAAACTGTTTCACACTCATTCCATCATTTGCTTTCCTAAATGTCTGTGAATTCATATCTGTGTGTTTACAGAGATGTTTATCATGCTCACTATTACCTGAAATGGTTCTTATCTGTCTTGGTCAAGTCTTAAACAGCTTTCAATCTATTTGATGATTTCTGTTATTTAGTACCAAACCCTTTCACTAAATGTTTTTTATCTGCGTCCTTTCTCTGAATACATTTCCAATGTTTACATGGGAAAGTATTCACACACATTCATACACTATCATATAAGTTTTTATTCTAATTTTTTTAGTTATTCTTCCTATTATATATTACTTATTTTAGGATGTTAAACTAAAAACATGTTAAAATCAATTTTAAATTAAACGTTACGTACAGTGGAATTATACTCCATTCGTTCTTACTTTACCTGGATATATATATATATATATATATATATATGAATAAATAAATAATAATATTATTTGGCAATAATAATATAGATCCAGAGAAAGCTCAATGTAAAAACAGAGCAATAA